CATTTTAACAAAACGTTTAGAAAAAGAAAGTACATTTGTTTATCTTCTAAGGGATAAAAATAAGCAGGTGTGGCCGCCCGAAGCACTCACTCCAGTGGTCGATAGAATGTGCTCACTTGCTTGTGCTTTTAAAGGGACCCCTCACTGAAGAAAGTGCTGGAAAAGAAGTCCTTGGCCGGCTTCTGCATAAGGGGAGCCTCTCCCCTTAAAGGGAGCTGTTTTTGGAGGTAATTCCCAGAGAACTGGGGGTCAGGGCTGGGACTTCGGGGTCTGAACAGAGAGTGGCTTTGCTGTGGCCTGACAGGCAAAAGGACAGCCTCTGAGCCAGAACCGGCTCCTCCTGCCACCTGGGACCGGCCCCTCGGCCCTCCTCCTCCTCTGCCCGAAGCTAGTGAGTGGATGGGGCCGGGCCTCCTGAGCTTGCTCCCTGTCAGTTAGCTTTAATTGTCAGTGCCACTCATGGGGCTGGCTGAGGCTCTTGGAGTCGGCAGGCGCGGAGGTGAGGTCACTGCAGGAGCCCCCGCACGCTCAGGGCTAGTGATATCAGGTAACGCAGTTTCACCCCACCTGGAAAATTCTAGGTTTTAATGAAATTGGCTAGTTCTCCCTAACGTAGCAGCTAGAGGAAGACTTGGGCGGACGGGAGGGGAAGACTGACACCCAGAGAGTTAGCTCCATCTCTGCTCAGCTCAGCCCTTGCTCCGTCCCTGGGTAGTTAGATTATTTCTTGCAGATAGCAATCAACTGGAAGGAAGTGTGTGTGTCTAATTTGCATGAGATTATTTAAAACAACAACAACAAAAAAGGTCTGCATTAGTCAGGGTGATGGTAAACAACGCAAAGAGATGCCTTTTCTACTGTGGCCTGTGCCTCAGCGTCAGAGCCAAATATAATTCACTTACCATCGGCCGTTCCCTTTATTATCCCTTTAACCTTTTGGATCCTGTAAGGCCCTACTCCGAGCTCCCCGGGGCTTCTCAGCGGGAGTGGGTGCACCTGGCCGTGTCGTGGGGTTTCGGGGCAGCACCTCATCCCTGAGGACAAAGCCACTCCTCACCAGGAGCCCAGAACCGGGAGAGAAGGGGGTTCAGAGAGATGACCCCTCGGCTCAGGCTCCAAAGCCCAGCTGCTTCACCCGAGAGGTCACCTGTCGAGTCCTGGTCCTGGCCACCCTCCCTGAGCCGGGACACACCAGAGGAGGGGGCACTGTGCAGGGTGGGCTTATTTGGGGTTAGAATACCAGGATGAGATCAGGTCACTCTGCCCTCGTCACTCGGTGCTGCTCAGAAAGCTGCCCAGGTGGCATTGCAGAGAGGACCCAGGTGCCAGGCTCCTGTGAGGGTTGGTAAGCCCTGAAGCAGCACCCGTGGGCCCTCCCTGTGCGGGGTGTCACATGGGGAAGGGAGAAAGGAGGTCTGGTCCTTGTGTAAACCTTCCGGATATTGAAGAGGTAAGACTTCAGTGTGCGGTTGTGATGGGACCGCGCTGTGTGGGAGCCGCTGTGCTGGAGGCGGAAAGCCCATTGTCACCGGCAGTCCCAGCCCTCAGCTCGTGTGCTTTGAGGCACATTTTTCACCCTCTTTGGGCCTCTGTTTTTTTAATCTGTTAAATGAAGGCAATGACTGGGATAATGGTTCAGCTCTGAAATTATATTGTTCAGTGAGATCATTAAAATGCTTTTTTTTTTTTAAAAAAAAAAAAAAAAAGAAGAAGAAAAATGATTCACTTTATGTAACTAAATCAGAATCCTGACTCTCGGAGGACTAGGATATCAGACTCCCAGCCAGTGTGGATTTAGGGCATCAGATGATAAGGCCTCTGAAAAACAAGAGCCTGGAAGGATGTGCTGATGCCCTTTAAGCCACGGCCTCACTCCCGGGCTCGGCTGCAATAACGCAAGGAACATGCTTTATTGGGAAAACGGGCTTCGGCAACGCTCCGAGCCAGAGGGCAGAACGACGGGCAGCGACAGCGAGTCCTGTCCCTTTAACCACTCCGGCTCTCAGGGCCTCAGGGCCTCAGCCCAGCCTGCAACTTACTGTATATTTCCCCAGCGTTAAACATTATCGTACTTGTTTATATTTGAAAGAGCCAAAAGGGAAAATGAGAATGCAACTGAATGCTCCTTTTGGGAAAATTATCCTTATTTGCAGTCGGCGGCTGACAAGGCACGCGCACCGCCAGGTCTGCGCAGCTCCGCGGCCCACGGTGACCCGCCCGCAGCCTGTGCTGACGGCGCACGGCCTCCGCTTCCCCGGTGGCCGATTGCGGCTGGTTAGAGCCGCATCTTTCCTGCTAGAACCCTGGCAGGGGTTCCCTTCCTGTCTAGGAGGAGAGTGTTCTCAGTGTTTCCTCGGCTTGTCTGTCTCTGCTGCCCCTGTGCTTGGGGGTGAGATGATGAGAAAGCAGCCCCTTTGCAGTCAGCGAGGGGTGGGGGGGTTGGGAGAGGGACGAACTCAGATCTGCCTTTGCATTTTGAAGGAGCTCTTATAAATGACCCTCCTGCCCCCTGGCAGCCTCTCCATCTGCCCATCAATCTGCTGAGAGGCTTCACGGAGCTGTGGCCAGCCTGCCAGCCGCTCCACGGTGTGCGGAGAAGGGGGAGCCGCAGTGTTAATGGGGCCACATCTCAGCTGCCCAGCACAGGAGAGGGCCCGGGCCGGTTGGAACAGCTCAGGCCTTCTCCCCAGAAAAGTCGGGGTGGCTGCAGCCCACTCACGCCGGTGTGGAGCCGGTGCGGAGTGGGCAGCGCCGGGCTGCAGGGTATTAATGGGCTCCATCTAGTAGCCCCTTGGCACGGAACGTGCAGCCGGCTCGCAAGATGCTGATCCTCCGAACCTCCCGTGCTTACGTCACCCACCCCAGGGGCAGCTAGACCAGCCATAGGCCTCTAATGGAAGGCGGCTGACCAGATGTGGAAGAGCTCCAGGCTCTGGTTTAAAAGCTCCGTGCTGCGGCCGGAGTGGAGATGGGGTTCCCGGAACAGTGCGGCCTGTCGGAGCGCTTTACCGTGGACCAGCGGCGACCTCCCACCTGCCTTTTCCTCCCCCGTGGCTGGAGCGCAATTGCACATGCACCTTACTTCCAATTGCACACACACTTACTTCCGATCGCACACCACCTTCCTTCCAATCGCACACACACTTCCGATTGCACACACACCTTCCTTCTGATCGCACACGCACCTTACTTCTGATCGCACATGCATTTACTTCCAATTGCACACCACCTTCCTTCCAATCGCACACGCAGTTACTTCCGATCGCACACTCACCTTACTTCCGATCGCACACGCACCTTACTTCCAATTGCACACGCAATTACTTCTGATTGCACATGCACATCCGATTGAACACGCACTTACTTTTGATTGCACACCACCTTACTTCTGATCGCACACGCACTTCCGATCACACGTACACTTACTTTCGATCGCATACGCACTTCCGCTTGCACACCATCTTCCTTCCAATCGCATACGCATTTACTTCCGATTGCACACACACCTTACTTCCGATTACACATACACCTTCCAATTGCACACACACTTCCAGTCGCACACGCACGCACTTCCGATTGCACACCACTTTCCTTCCAATCGCGCTCACACACTTACTTCTGATCGCACACGCACTTCCGATTGCACACCGTCTTCCTTCTGATCGCACACGCACTTACTTCTGATTGCATACGCACCTTACTTCCGATCGCACACACACCTTACTTCCGATTGCACACGCAATTACTTCTGATTGCACATGCACCTTCCAATTGCACACGCACTTACTTCCGATTACACATGCACTTACTTCCAATTGCACACCACCTTACTTCCAATCGCACGCGCTCTTACTTCTGATCGCACACGCACTTACTTCTGATCACACACGCACTTCCGATTACCTTCCGATTGCACACGCACCTTACTTCCGATTGCACACCCACCTTACTTCTGATTGCACACCCACCTTACTTCCGATTGCACACCCACCTTACTTCTGATTGCACACCCACCTTACTTCCCATGCACACGCACCTTCCGAGCCAGCCATACAGGGGAGTTGTTCTCACACCGGGTGCCCCACTGGGTGCCATGCTTTGGGCTGGTTGGTGCCCCTCTCTTCCCACAGAGCCAGCACCCCCGGCTGCCTGGGAAAAGCTTCCGGCCAGGTGCCCCCTGGAAATGGGGCCCGCCTGGGTCTTCACCTGCCTTTCACTCCTCCCTGGGCTCCTCCCTGGACAAATCCCCTCCACGTGCTGTAGCCACTGCAGAGGGCGCCCTGCTATTCCCCAGGTCCCATGTGCAGTGTGGTGTAGACAAAAAAAAAAAAAGAGGAGGAATGAAAAACTAGCCAAAGGCGATATAGGCAGCCTGTGATAGGCTAGAGTAATAATCATCTCAAAGTTTGGGCCTGGCCTTGTTTTGATCTGTTTTCTTGTTTTATTTTCTTCTTTACATTCTATATCCCATTCATACTAATCACAGTCAGTCCTGATTTTTCTTTTTATTTCTGCATTTGTCATAAAATAAAGCAAATTATTCCCGTCTTCAGAAACGATCTAGACTAATTAGTCGTCTCACCCAATAATTAGTTTTTTGTTTCCCTGTCTGTTTTCATGCATTATTGTTAGTTTTTTCCCCTCTTTTTTTTAACACCATTACAGATTAAAATGAGCCACATTTGCAGTTGATGGTATCTGTTTTCAGGGGAAGAATGGAGAATTGCAGTACAGAGCGACTTCAAAAGCAGCAATAAACTCAAGGATAAATTAAGGAAATTGAATGAGCCACATTTGGAAGCAGTGTTGAGGCTAATATTCTGTCGCTTAAGGTTAAATTGCAACTGAGAGAGGTTCCAGAGAATCCGAAATCGGAGAGGCAACTTCCCAGGATGCTAGGCGTCCCGTGGCTCACGGGGCCTTTTCTCAATGCAGATTCCGTAGCAGCCAGGGGCAGTGGACAGGGTACTCACCTGCGATCGTGTGCTCTTCCCCCCCAGGGCTGACCGACGACGAGATCGATGTGGCCTTCCAGCGGTCGGGCACTGCGGCCGACGAGCCCGCGGCCTTGGGCGCAGCCGCACCGGCGGTTCCTGTGCAGCCCCCTCCCCTCATGCCGCAGCCGTACAGTAAGTCACCGCCCCGCTCCTGCTTCCTCCATCGGACTCGGGGCTGTGGTCCCGAGCAGCGCTCCCCGGCCAGGCTCAGCAAGCCGGGCACTGGGACGTGTAGCCGGCGGCTCCTGGTTCTTTCCAGAAGAATGTGGCACACCCAGACCTTCTAGACACACTTTGAAGCCTGTGACAAAGGTTTAAGAAGAGACAAGGGACCAGGATAAATGAGTTTATTAATGTGTTGTGTCAAGTATTATGGTCATAAGTAAGAATCTATTAAAGCACGCATTGGCTCAGTTTCCATTCTCTTAGAGCAGTGCTTTTGCATGTTATTGTTGCTCTAAGAGGAACGCACATGAAGTTTGGATTCATGAGTGCATTCTCGTTTGCTCGCTAAAATAACTTGCCTCCCAGTTTTATTTTTTAAAGTTCATATTAGTAGGTTTAGACTGCCCCTTCCTCTCTCCCCTCCCCTTCCTTCTCTCTCTCCATCCTTCCCTCTCTCCCTCCCTCCCTGATCCTGGCTATCCCATGTATATTTATGCAGTGGCAGTCTGTTGAAAATTTCAGATTAGATGTAAATGTCCTTTTTGTATGTAGTGTTTAATTATAACATGAGACCATGGCCCACAGGAGGTTGTGTTGTTTTTAAATAAAAGCTGTTTTAGGAATTGAGGTTCTTTAAATGAGTAATAAATGTACACCTCAACTACAGCCAGAACCCCTGGTTTAAGTCACCTGTACAAAGTCTAAAAAGGTGAAAATTGACTCCAACATGATGGAAAATAGCTCAGTTTTGTGTCTTTAATGTAACTCAGCCTTGCATTTGTCGTCTTTCAAAATGCCTTTTGTATAATTGTCTGTCTTGGCAGTTTTATTTTTTTCAAAACATGATTTAAAATGGTGTTAGCGATTACATTTTAGAAGGCGTGATTTCAACCCCTGCTGCATGGTCTGGAGCTCCCTTCTGGCTCACTCTGCCATGGTCTGGAGCTTGCCAGAGGGGGCAAGATCACTGTGCAAGGCAGGGCTGGGCAGTGGTTAGAGCCGCTCGCTGTGTGTGCCCAGCTCTCATTTAGACTGCTGCTGGCTTTTCTCTGTGGATGAGGCTGAAGGGGTGAGGCCAGGTAACACACACTCACGTGCTCTCACCCGTGGTCGCCTTGTCTGACAAACCACTGGTGGCATGTGGCTGAGGCTAGAGGAGCATGCCTCGAGGTGAGCCTTGTCCTGCGGCTCTGGCGTCAGCAGCTGCCTGTCGGCCTGGGCCTCTTTCCTCCTTCCCGCCAGATTCCTCCCACCCATTGTGCTTGCTTTGGTCACTGACCATTCTCTGTTCCCTCTTAACCAGGGACAAGTCCCCACACTTCCCTTTGCTGCCCCTGGCCCCGCCGTGGGGTGGGATTGCCGAGGACGGGCAGTGGCAGCTGGGGTGCAGAAGTTTCTAGATGCACATCTGTTCTACTCCAGCTGTTTCCTCTGGGGCCTAATACCAAACAGGTCTCCCGGCTACTTGAAAACTCGCTCAGAACAGAGTGTTCTGGCCTAACATATCCCGCGTTTGCCTCCTGTGAGTAGACACCAAGGGTTAAGCTGTTCCTCTTTCTGAACGAGGCAAAGCCTGGGACGGGGAGGGGCAGTTCAGTCATTTAAATCATCCTCTGTCCGATCGCTCTGAGAAAAAGCATTGCCCGGTGAGGTATTTAGGTAGGAGTATTTTTAAGAGTCTCCCAGCCCTAAAAATAAAATACATCTTCATAGAGACAGACTCCCTCCTGCGCTGACGCTGGTGTGAAAACAATGGGAATGGCATTTCTAAACACCTGCAGCTCCAGTGCCCAGGGAGGGTCATCCTTCTCGGGCCCTGCCCGCCCCTCCCGCTCCGGGCTGGCTGCCTCTTCCCTTCTGTACTTCTGCCAAGAGGTGTCAAAACTGCTCCTAAAAAAAAAAAAAAAGCTTGATTTTGATTAATATAGAGAAAGAAGACTTTGCCTGACTGATAATAAAACTGATAAATGACATTTGAATTACTTGTAGCAGTAATTTATTACATAAAATATCTTTTATTTGACATGCGATTAGTTGCTGGAAGCATCACTCAACCTGACGAGTTTAAACACGCTCTAAAATGAACCCCAGTAAAAAGCAGGGCTGTCTGCGCCGGCGTTATGAAATACACTAATCCTGGAGTGAGGGGAAATCTGACTTTAAATATTTAAATGATTAATTGGGTTTATATATTTTTTTTTTACCTTTCTAACCCCCTTAATTACAAGCAAACTCAGGGGAGTTTCTGAACTAGGTGAGCAATCTGCATGCTTATCGCCGAGGCATTGTCTGCGTCCTGGGAGGGATTTATGGCCTCCATTCATGTGTGTTCCTGCCGGTTTACATCTGGGGCTCAGGCAGCCCTTCCCTGCGTGTTTCTTGACTTTTTAAGGACATTCTCTCCCTGAGCCCAAGGCTAGAAAACGGGATTCTCTGGGCTCAGCCCCAAATGCTCACGTCTTGGGCAAGGGTAGCTTTTCTGAGATGGCTGCCAGGAGCCCAGTGCCCTGGATGGTCACCTCCGGGCTGGCCCCTCCTGCTTGGAGTCAGATGTCCTACTCGGTGCTTCTTTTGGTATCTCTGCTCTTTGGTGGTTGTGGTTGAACTAAGGTGTTGGTAAATGCCAGTGTCAGCAAAGAGAACATGGAGACCTACCAGAATGGTCATTTCCTCAGTGTTTGGGAAGCACCTACTGTGTGCTCAGGATGTGTGGTGGGATTTGAAACATGATCTTTGAGGATCTTACAGGCTCTCTGGGAGAGAGAGGGTGAACTCATAAGAAAAGGATAATAATATAAGTAATGATTTAATGCCAAATTAATTATTCAGACAAGAAAATTCCATTAGAATACAGAAAAGAGGAGAATGAAGAAGTCAGAAGGCTTTGTGAAAGTGGGAGGAGGTACACCGTGGGGAAGCTTGGTGTCACGTGGTGTGAGAATAAAGCACTGTGTCCGGGCTCACAAGAGCCCTTTCCTGGGGAGAGCTCAGGAAAAGCCAGGCCAGATCCAGAGGAAACGTGACATTCCGTATTCCTCAGCCTGGTTTCTCCTCTCGATTTGGAAGCAGGAGTCAGTGTGTGTGTGTGTGTGTGTGTGTGTGTGTGTGCACACGGTGCCCCGCACGGCCCTGAACGGAAAGTCCTGATAAATATTCGCTTGATTGATTCGTTCCAAGCCGATTTCTCTTCTCTCCTCCAGAGAGACTAGGAGCAAGGTAGCTTTGAGACGGAGGCAGGGCCAGTGTGAATTCTGTGGAATAATAATTTTCTTCCTCAGGCCTTTCAGAGACAGACCTACAGCTTCAGTTGCCTCTTAAAATAGGATGTAAATGGGGTCGGGGAAAGGTTTTGACATTTCATTAGAAATCGTGGGAGAGAAAGTGTGTTCTGTTTGTTTCTCTTATAGCCCATAGAGCCTCATACCCTTTCCCTAACTCACTGAGCGGGCACGCATGACGGCAGGCCTGCTAGGTGCCCGGCTGTGGTAGGCCCTGGGCGGAAGGGCTAACAAGGCTCGCCAGCCACTCTTGTCTGATAGGAAAGGCAGATGAGTGAATGCAGCAGTGCCTGAGCTCTGAGCTCGGCCCGGTGAGGCCAGGAGCTCACAGCGAATAAACATTCCAGGGCATGGTGGTGGGAGTAGGGGCTGGCACAGATGAGGTGAACCTGGGGGACGACTGGGTCAGTGAGCAGACAGGATGGACAAGAGCCTCCAGGCAAACCAGGTGCTGCTGAGAGCAGCTCCAGCCTGGGATGGGAGTGTCAGATGAGAGACCCGCTGCTGGAAAACATATGGGTTTTTTTACTGTGAAACGCATCATTAATTGTTTTGGAGGCAGTATTACCTATGTGACCATATTATTCTTAGGCCAGTGTTAAAATTATTGTGTCACCTGGGCAGATGCTGCAGGGGGCTAGGGAAGGCCCCTGGAGGATATAGACAAGGCAGTCAGGACCCCTCTCCCCCTTCACATACCCCCCCCCCCCTCCATCTCTGCCTACGGCCAGCCCGTTACTGTTCCTCTGGGCGGGCAGCTCCGCTCCTACAGGGAGTGTCTCAGATGCCTCCACTCAGCTAGGGTGCAGCACGGTGGCCGACCCCTCGGCTTGGCCAGCCCCCACTCCCACCACGATGCCCTGGAATGTTTCTTCGCAGTGAGCTCCTGGAGCTCAGAGGCTTTTTATGTTTTTAATCTATGACCTGAGGCTCTGTCTTAGCAGGTGTTCCAGAAACACTTGTTGGACGGATAAATGGTGATGGAAATGTTCTTCAGCCAAACCAGCAGCCCGGGGCAGCCCCGGGAGCCGGCGAGGACAGGCCTTGCCCTGATGAACGTGAGGGAAGCGCAGAGTTTGGGGAAACATGTGGACCAGTCCACGCCAGGTTGTGTGGCGTGAGTGTGACCAGCGAGGTGAGGCCGTCCGGAGAAAGCGGGCTGGCGCTGGGCTCTGGCGGCCAGTCAGGAGGGCTGGAAGGAGAGCATCCCTGGGAGTGCAGTGAGAGCCGGGAGGGTTGGTGTGTGCCAGCCACTGTCCAGTGACATCCCACCGGGAAATAAAGTGGGAGCCTCCCATTTCCCTCTGCCACTTCAGCACACAAATCTCAGTTTCTGCTACATAAAAACTACCGATTTGTATATGAAAAAAAAACTTGTCTGATTTTTAAGGAAACAGCTTAAAACAGCTTTTCAGGGGCCACCACCCTGCCCGCTGTGTTGGCCGTGTGCTGCCAGGGCGGTGCCATGGTGCCAGGTAATGCCCGGGATGGATAGTGGCGCGGGCGGGTGAAGGGGAAAGAGCGGAGGGGCAGAGCCGATCCTAGGTTTCTTAGGCCGGAAAGAGTCTGTGCTTGGTGGCAGCCAGGATCATGGCTGTGCTGACAATGCAGCCTGTGTGTTTTATAAGGTTCCTCTGCAAATAACACAAAACCCGAAATAAAAGAGGCTTAAACAAGACAGAAGGTAGG